TACTACTTTCCTTCAATTCTCTTCTTCATAATTCAGTTACGTAATTATTTTACTTCATATTCCCAATGATAAATTCCGTTCATTCATTCATGGACCGTTTTTTCAACTTTAGCCATCCTATTCTACTGGTTAATTCAATTTTATGCCTGTTATTACACAATAGTGATATCAATTCTGATTCTCTTGAAACGTTTCTCTATGTTTTAAAAAAAACGGAAGACAGACTTTGTGAAATTTTCGCGTTTGGTAACATATACAGAATATTGAGTTTTATTGAAATAGCTTCGTGAGGAAATTCTTGGAGTTCTAGTAAGAAATCCGAACCAGTGAACATCAACAAAATCGCGTGTGATGCCGTTAGTTGTGCAATACCTTAGTTTGATTAAATTTAAACAATAACATCACTGCATGCCCGCTCAATGGTTTTGAGGTTAAGCGTTTCCGCCTGAGATCAAAGGTTCTGGGTTAGATTTCCATGTGTGGGGGTCGTGGACGCTCACAGCTGATAAGTCTCATCCTAGGACGAGAGAGCCGTTCACTGCTTCCATATTTCTAATGGTGGTCTAATACTGATCGATTTACAGTTTCAAGGAATACTGTAATACCAATTAGTATATATATAGCCAAAAGTGTATCTTGTTATGTACTTTCTTGAGGGTTATTTATTTTAATCGGACAGTGGTAGTTTTTTTTGTACAACTGTTTTGATATTAACTACAGTAATAAAGTTAGTTAGGAAGAAATTGACAGTGAGTATTATTCCAATCTGAAAAATTTCAGGAGTGCTTATTAATTACTACACCACACAGGATCTAACATAAGACCTAAAATTTTTGACCGGTAAGCTTTCAATCATTGTTGAGTTAAGTTTGATATTGGAAAAGAGTTTTATGATTATTACGAAATGTAGTGAAAATTAAATGTATATAATTACTACTTAAAATGCTCCTGTAAATCGATAATATGCAACAGTATAATGTGAATAATATAGAGATTCACTTAAACATACGAATAAACTCATTTCAAAGACGGAAACATTAGGCGAATTTCCTTTCTAACACAAACAACACACCCTTATATACACAAAATATTGTGCTCAAGAATAAACTTGATTAGAGGGGAGTAAACATATAAACGATTGAGGTATATGACATCTTTTGGTCATTAACTCTTCGATGGAATTAATATACTTGACCATTAAGCTTTATTCTTCACATACTAGTGACACCGTATCTGAAGTTTGTACTGATGATATTGTTCAGAAGAACCATGAAAGCTTCACAACCAAAATATTCAGCTCAGAGAACGAAAAATCACCACAACAATTAGTAGTCTTCGATATTCATACGTTTCTCAAGAATTCAAATTCTATAGAGTCATGAGTTTTTATATGCAAATAATAATTCTATTTTACCGATAAACTGTGTTGGTTAGTCAAACAGAAGAATTATATCCTTTTATGATAACAGTTCTGGTAAATGTTTGTATTGAGGCCTACTAAATTGCTAATTTGATTTTAACTACTGAAAAACGTTTAAGTAGCCTTTTACGTATTAAAAAAAGTATGATGGTAATATTGTTAACTATGATAATTGACCCGAATGAGAAAGAGACGAAGATTGGGATCACTACCTCTTGAAGTCAGATTTATACGTTATAAAGAATCTAAAAACAGTGAAAATCTTAAATTCAATAAGTTCTACACTCAAGACCATTGAATTTACTATGAAAAGTCGGTTAAGATAAATAGTTTTTACTGTTATGCTCAACATTTTCTATTTTGAGTAAATACTATGTAGATATGATTGTAGAATAATTAATCACTCTGTCATTAAGTAATTCTGTGAGAATGATTAATAGAATATGAATAAATATTCAATTATTGATTATTGATTATTTAAGAATTTCATGGTACTACCTGATCCAATTTATGTCATACAAACAAACCGTCATAACCTTAGCCTTGGACTATTACCTCTAATTACGAATGTATTGTTTGTAAAAACAGGTGAATTTGTATGCTCCGAAAAAAATGTAGTTCATTATAATTAATAAGCAAATCTAACTAATCGTGCTTTAATTTCCTACGTTTACTAGCTATTTGTTAGGATATTCATCCAATGTCCTATGAGTATTACTGGTCAATTCCTACTGGTCAATTTTATGATCGTCCAATATATCAATATCACGTGCTCCAATGTTGTTTCTTATTGATTGTCCTGACTATCATTGTCACTTCAAATGTTGCTTCCTATTGGTCGTCTTAACTGTCGATGTCACAGAAATCGATGCTGTTTCCTATTCGACCTAAATGTATAAATACGCATTATGTGTAACGTTTTATGACCCATAACCCTAATCCGGGAACCTGATTTTCTTCTGGACTCGGACCTCGTACTTTCTGGATGCTTGTAGAATAAATTTTCTACTTCAGATCAAGTCTTCTTATTTTTACTCAATATGGGGGGGCTGGGATATTCGGATTTGAGTAGTCAGTCGTGTCGCCGGATCCTCGATCCTCGCTCTCGTTTTCCGACTAGGTAAATTCGTAATAGTTCAAGTATATCAAGTTGACGTGTTTACTTGCAGGTGTAACTCAACTATTCATTTATATTTGAACAACATGATGTTTGTATGGAAATGTGTAAAAATCAATAAGTGAAAAATTGTAAAATGGTTTTACAGAAATTTATCACTTCTGAAATTATATTGTTAAAAGACTTGAAGTGGTAAGAGCATTCATAGCCGTAGTGGAAATAAACAGCTATCATTATGTTGATTGATTGATGTTAGTTTAAGTCTATGGTTGAGAATATTTCTTATTACAATATTAAATGGTTATTTGAAAATCGATGCTGCCAAGTGTGAGATTTAAATCAAGGATTATACATTGGTGTCCTTTAATTACCCAAAAATCCAATAGAGTAGTAAACATTATCATCAAAGCATATATATATGTATATATATATATATATATATATTCCAAAGAAGAAATATTTTAAAAATTCTATTTTTAAAAATACTCTATTTTTCAAGGTTAAAAAATGTCAAATCAGTGAAATGATAATTTATTCAAAAAACACACAATCATATCATAATCATATCTATAATCTTGACCAATCAAAAACTGTCCAGATAACTATTATTTGTAGAACCAATCAAAATGATGCTGAATAAAATTCATAGTCTACCAATTGAATTGTTATAAAAGTAAAAAAAAATGTAATTGAATATTTTACACTTGAATAATTATGATAACAATAATAATAATTATTTAAAATAATATAGTTGTATAAATATATATATATATATATATATATATATATATATATGTGGATAGAAAATAGATTTCTTCTTTTTTTTTTCTAACATTATTTGGACTATTGACATACTTAGTATATTAATGCAATCAACCACATTGATGAATAATTTCTCATGTAAAATTGAATAATTACAAAAATAATGATTATATTAATGAATTAATTACTGGATCGATTAGTTCATTAAAAATAGGTAAGTTACGATAAATAGAGGAGAGGAAAACTTTTTATTGTGATTAGTAATTTTTCATGGTTGATTAATCTACAAATCTAGTTAACTCTCATCACATATTATGATGATGTTCATTGAATTCCAGATCAGTAATCTAGAGCTAAAACGCTATCAATGAGATTTAATGATCTAGTGTTCATTTCTCTTATAGTTCAAAGTAGTGAATGAGAATTTCTCGTACGTACTTACTTACTTACGCCTGTTAAACCCAATCGAGTGTATGCCGCCGACCATTTTTCTCCAACCTACTCGTATCCTGAGTTCCCCCATACCAATTCTGTCCAACTTTTGTTTATTTTCCTCATATCTTTCTCTATTTCTCGGCGTAATGTGTTCCTTAGCCTTCCTCTTTTCCTTTTACCTTGAGAATTCTTAGTGTGTGTTTGTCTTGTGACACAGATGGGTCCTTTCCTCAGTGTGTGTCCTATCCACTTCCACCGCTTCTTCCTGATTTCCTCCTCCACTGGAATCTGGTTTGTTTTCTCCCACAGTAAGTTGTTGCTGATGGTGTCTGGCCAACGAATCCGAAGTATTTTGCGTAGACAACTGTTCATAAATACTTGTATCTTGTGGATGATGACTTTGGTAGTTCTCCATGTTTCTGCTCCATACAGTAGAACTGTCTTGACATTTGTATTGAAAATCCTGATTTGGTGTAGACTGAGATTTGTTTGGAGTTCCAGATATTTTTCAATTGTAGAAATGCTATCTTGCTTTGTCGATCCACGACTTTTCATCTGCATCAGATCCACCTTGATTGTCAATGATACTGCCCAGATAGGTAAAGGTGTTAACGTCCTCCAAAGCATGTCCATCAACAGTGATTTGGTTTACTTTTGCCTAGTTTTGATTTAATTCTCTAACGGTTATCAATTTATGATGAAAGTCCATTGGTTAAAGCATAACATATTTCTTCACAAAAAACACTTTACATAAGGCAATTCAACATTTATAATAATAATAATAATATTAATAATAATAATAATAATAATAATAAGGAATTTTTTAAAAATAATAACGAAATCCTCTCACTTACACTCAATGGAACAAAAGCCGCTGATTAGTATTCTCCAACCTACTCTGTCCTGGACCTCCCTTTCATAGTTCTGTCCAATTTTTGTTCATTCTTCCCATGTCTGTGTCTATTTCTCGGTGTAGCGTGTTCCTTGGCGCTTCCTTCGACCTTGAGGGCTTCGAGTGAGGGCTTGTCTTGTGACGCAGTTGGGTGCTTACAGCAATGTGTTTCCTATCCAACTCCAACGCTTCTTCTTGATTTCCTCCTCCACTGGAATCTGAATTGTTCTCACCCACAAATTAGTTAACTAATGCAGACAATATTTCCAATAATAACTTTTGTTAAAAAGATAATTATTTTGGGAATTTATTAAAGAATACACTTGATCAAATCAGATAAAAGCTAATTATCATTGCTAAAATATCGACTGAAAGTTAAACTGAATAATTATACATTTGGTTAGAGATCTTGAATAACATGGCTCAGAATCGTTTGCAGTGGCTCGTTGTGTTCTCAGAAATTCTAATTTTCTGAATTGGTCATCACATCCACCTTTCTGGTTCTAAACTTATTTCACTGAATTATACTTCTCGAATTATATCTTCGAATCCTAATCTTCTTCATTACGGCTAATACTTCTACTACAGCTATCACTGTTGGATTTGAACTGACAGTTGTGTCTTTGTGCTGTTGTAGTATGGCAACCTGAACTGATGTGCATACGTACGAAGTTCTGTGTTGTATCTGTCTGTCTATCATACATTTCGATATACATAAATTCATAAAATAAGATCCTTTTCTTTAATTGATCGTTTGAAGGTAGTTTTCATCAGGAAATGAATTTATCTAGAGAATAATTTAAGCGTAAAGAGTATTAAGTTGCTGTTTTGTCGTTGTCTGGGAATTTCTAGATATCTATACTGATGACGCCACATGGAACTGAAATCATGACTATCAACTTTAGAAGTGAGTAAGTTGCTCTGATTTAAGTTGATTGGAGTTCAATAAATAATCCGTCATCATGCAACATGATAACAAGCGTAGGTAACCCATTCATTGTCAGTAAGGGGTTATGGATATTTCATTAAACTCATGAACTGATCTAAGTCAGACTATCAGTGAAAACCTGTAGGAACTGAACGATGATTTCTCTCTAGTTTGGGATTCTTCAAAAGTTCTCGTTTGCAACCCAGTAAGCAAGAAGGGAAACCCAAGACCTTTGGTATCATATGTGAACACTTAGCTCCTAAATCACTTCAAACAGTCCACTCACGATATTGCGCTACTGCATTACATCCGGCAAGACTTAGCTTGACTGATTATGAAAGTTCTCAATGGTGGTTTAACTTAAATCAATTTATGGTTTCAAGGAAACTTTTTTATTACTGACGAGTTTAAATTCAACCGGTCATGATGTATCATTAGAACTGCAGAAAACTGTTTTCTCTAAGGCAGTTACAAAGAAGTACACATGAATAATAATAGTAATAATATATGAATAATGAATAGTATTACTTTGAAAATAAAATGTTTTTACCAGATAAAAAAGTAAAGGGGAAAATATTGTAGTCCACAGTTATCTTGAAATTGTGAATTTATCGGATATCACTTATAGTGAAAGTCTACATTGTCTGACGCCTCAAAAAAGATGAATGTATATTATATTTAATAAAAGAGTATATTAGATTGCCACTCGATGATATCGCTCAGTATAATGTGATTTTTAAAATCGATTTATTCAAAGTTGGAATATGGTTTAAGGAAAAATGATACAATTTGTTTAGAATACTAATTAATAAATGTATTTGATAGCATTTAAGGTAATTCATATTGTAGAAAGATTGAAGGTTATTCAATTTCTAATTGAGATTAGACTAATTTGCGTTAGACAATCATTAGAAAACAGGAAGCATTGGACAGCCATTTAATTTTATTAGGAGGTTATTTACTGATATGACTCTATGGGCTTACTAGAAAATGGGCTCGAGAAATTGAATTTCTTTCTGTTAGCGCTTAACCATCAGCTAAAAGAGTTATTAACTTTAATCAACTCACGACATTGTATAACCATCTTTCACAGTCTTCGGTAGGAAACTCTGTGACATCCAGAATGGTTGAATTCAACTAGTCATAGTTTATTTCTAGGACTAGGGAAATTTACTCTTGAAGTTAGTCATTAGTGAGCATGTGATAACTGTCAGCTTGAGGTTTTATGGAGATTATTGTTTGAGTATCTTTAGTCAGATAACAACCAAAGAACAGTGGACAAGTTTTTCGTCTTAATATCCGACTCATGAGGAATTGGATCTTTCAAGAAATCGAAACTATCACACCCAAACATTGCTGTGATAATAGTGTGGTGCGAGCTACTTATAAGTAGTATAGGACGTGAGTGTCAACGTAATGTCTGGCAGCAGAAGATGGGGGAAGATCAAGAAAGGAAGAACAGTGGGAACACAATGGAATTTGTATGAAACGCATGAATAGTGACAATGGATTGATGTTTTGCAACAGGAACAGTTCAGTTCGATATGATGAACTGATATTTTCCGTGACCAGTGGCGTTCAACCCTATCAGGTGTAGGCAGTAACTACTAAAGACCAATGAGTGAGGTCGCACAAAATCTCTAGATTGATCAGAGTTAGACATTAACACCGTTGCATACCGGCCTAGAGGTTCAGAGGTTAGGCGTTGGCGCGCAAGACAGAAGGTCCCGAGTTCAAATCCTGCCAGATGCAAGATTTGTGGATGCGCACTGCTGATGAGTCACATACCCGGACGAAACGGCAGTCCACTGCTTTCAGGTTTCTAATGGTGGTCTAACAATCATTAGTTGATCATTTCAACACTAGTCTCTATAACTGTAATTGAAAAAAATCACATTATTGCCAATTGATCAATTATATTCAAATGATGTTAAATCGCTGTTGTTTTTTTTTTAAAAACGTAACTGATTTTTTTTACAAGAGTAATAAATAATGAGAAGAAATTTCGCACAGTATAAAAATAATTTATGCAAAAATAACTTTACAGTAAATAAGAATTTTCTTAGTTTACATTGTTATTATTATTATTTGGCTCAGTTAGTTAAGAGAATAATTGAGAAATTTACATATATATATATATATATATATATATTTATATGTACTTATTGAGATTGTCGTTAAAAAATCAAACATGATATATTTATCATTGTGTAGTGAGGGAGAACGCAGGTGGGGCAACCGAATTGTATTTAATGAAAATTACAGAGTTACTCAGTAAAATCGGAAAACCATATCGTAAATCGTTCATTTGCTAAATATCAGTTCATCATATCGAACTGGACTGACTGTTCCTGTTGCAAAACATCAATCCATTGTCACTATTCATGCGTTTCATACAAATTCCATTGTTTTCTAACTCTTCCTTTCTTGATCTTCTCCCATCTTCTGCTGCCAGACATTACGTTGACACTCATGTCATATACTACTTATAAGTAGCTCACACCACAATTGTACAACTAACTGTATGATCTTTAATTGGTATGATCTACAAATTGACAATTTTGGATAAAATATCAATCTCTTTTTTGGTTGAATTTTTTTATAATGTATTATAGTCTCCATTGTAAATTGATGTTTTTTTCTGATAGAGATCCATAATGTTAGGCTAAAGGAAAAAACGAAACAAAATAACAAGCTTAATATTACGTAATCAAATGGAAATAAGCTCGTATACCGGTTTAAGTTGCGAGTATTCATTCGAGAAACTAGATAACAGCTACAACAAATGATTATTTAATATTCTTCAATTAGAGTTATGGAGATTAGTGTTTTTACACCTGTAAGCACTGAAAGACGGCCGTTTCGTCCTGGTATGGGATTCATCAGCAGTGCGCATCCACGACTCCTACCACTCGCAGGATTCGAACCCGGGACCTTCGGTCTTGTGCGCGAACGTCTG